CCTCTAACCCTTTTTTTTTTTTTTTTTTTTTTTTGGTCTTTTTGAGACAGGGTCTCCTGGTAGCCCCAGCTATCCTGGAATCCACTATATAGACCAGCCTGGCCTTGAACTCACAGAGATCCGCCTGCCTCTGCCTCACGAGTGCTGGGATTAAAGGCGTGCGCCACCATGCCCTGCAAATAAAATATTTTTAAGAGAAAAAAAGTCTTGTTTTATTGTGGAAAGTAATATATACATATTCAATAACATAAAATATGGGTATATAGTGTTACAGACTGAATGTTCTTAACCCCCACCCCAATTTTTATTGTTGTTGTTTGTATTTCTGGGGATTGAACATAGGACCTCAACCATGCTAGGCACATGCTCTACCATTGACCTACACCATCAGCCTTCTCAATGCATATGCTAAATTCTTAATCTCCAATGTAATGATATTTAAAAGTGGGGCCTTTAGAAAATAATTTGGCTTAGATTAGGTTTGATGATGAAGCCCTCATAATGTGATGGATTAATGCCTTTATAAAAAGGAGGAGACATTTATTCTTCCACTATATTAGGATGCAAGAAGATGGCCACCTGAAACCAGGTAGAGTACCCTCACCAGGCACTGGCTAGGTTGGCATCTTGATATTAGACTTCCTGGATGCTAGAAGTGTTTATCTGTTGTTTAACCTACCTAATCTGTGGTCTTCTATTATAGAAGCCCAAACTGGCCAAGATATGCAATTAAAAATACTAAGACTCCACACGCCTTTAATCCCAGCACTCAGGAGGCAGAGGCAGGTGGATCTCTGTGAGTTCAAGGCCAGCCTGGTCCATGTAGTGAGTTCCAGGCTACAGGGAGACCCTGTCTCAAAAAGACCAAAAAACAGAACTGGGGAAGTACTAAGACTCTCCAACCTTAGCTGAGGAACTATTGGCAACTGATCACTGCTGGGTAAGGGAGAGTTTGTCTTCTTCAAGGGAGTGATACTAGATAGGTTGACCAAGCACCAGTGGATGAACTCACATCGAAGACATATGGGGATGCAAACTTGACTCAGTAGACCTTAATATGACAGATGGCATGAAATTTGTCAGGGAGGCTATGGGGCTACAAATATCTTAAATATGATTAAGATATATTGTACAAAGTGCATAAGAATTCAATAAAAAATAAAAAACAAAAGAATAATTAAAGGTCGACAAATTTAAGAATTATGTAGTAGGAACTCCTAACTAAAAACAACTGATAGTCAATAACAAAAACTTAAAAAATACTAAGACTAGGGCTGGAGAGATGGCTCAGTGGTTAAGAACACTGGCTGTTCTTGCAGAAGACCCGGGTTCGAATCCCAGCACCCACATGGCAGCTAACAACTGTCCGTAACTCCAGTTCCAGGGCTCCAACAGCCTCTTCTGTCCTCCGTAGGCATTTCACGACATGGGTGCACTTACCTACATGCAGACAATACACGCATACACATAAAGGTAATAAAATATATAAAAAGTGCTAAGACTAGTACATAATTCAATAATTTCTGAAATAAGTTTATTCACCTTTAAAGAGTGATGATAAAATTGTTACCTAGATATTTGTGATTTGAGATAAGAAGTGCATGATCATCAGTAATATCAGAAATGTATTCTGTGTGCCTTTATGAGATATATCTGTTCCTCATCGTTCCCAAGTAACAACTGCCCGTGTTGTGATTATTACCCTTTTGTTGTAATCACCTCTTTAAACTGTACCTTAGGTAGTATGTTGTTGGTTTGTCTCTTATGAGAATTTTTTAAAGTAGATCATACTGTATTATTCTTCAGTAAATTATACCATACGTATCCTTCTGTCACTTTTTTTTTTTTTTACGTCTAACAACTGATTATTTTGTTTAGGCTGGAAAAAATGAAAAAGGAGTATAGAAATCTGAGTACATGGGTGGAAAAAGCTGATTATTTAAAAAGCATTATTAACCCAAAAGTGGATTACAAAGATTCTAAGGTAATTGACAATAATGCATTCTCTCTTATGCAGCTTTTAATGCATTTTAATCAAACATACTATGATAATTGAAAGTATTTGATCAGATATTGCTTATTATACTTATTATATAAGATGCTATTCATGGTTTATATTCTTTATATTGATAAAAATGTGCCATTCAGTAAGTATTTGTTAGTAATTTATAAGATTTAATTAGTTGTAGGGGGCTAGAGAGATGGCTCAGCGGTTAAGAGTGCTGACTGCTCTTGCAGAGGACCCGAGTTTGATTCCTAGCACCCACATGGCAGCCACATGGCATCCTTAACTCCAGTCCCAGGGGAATCCGACAGCCTCTACTGACCTCCGCGGCATTGCACGACATGGGTACACTTACATACATGTAGGCAATACCCTCATACACATAAAATAAAAATAATAAATTTTAAAAATTTTTTAAAGACTTAATTAGTTGTCCAGTTTAAAGTATATTTCAGTGGCATTTAACCCATTCACTATGTTGCATATTAATTACCAGAATCAATTTTAGAGCATGTTCACTACTTCACAAAAGTAGCAGCACACCATGGGCCAATACTTTTTCCACTCTCCCACTGTCTTCTTGCCCTATATAGTAGCTAATCTACTTTCTTCTCTGTAAGTTTGCCTGTCCAAGACATTACATAGAAGTGGAATTGTATAATACGTGCTCCTTTGTGGCTTACTTCCCCCCCCCTTACCATAATGTTTTCAAGGTATTTTCTTCTTGTAGCATTATCAGTACCTTATTTCTTTTTCAAATAGTTTTCCATCATGTGGATATGCTGCATTTTGTTTATACATTTGTAAGCTGATGAGCATTTAGGTTGTTTACACTATTGGGCTATTGTGAAGGATACTGCTGTGAACATTCACGTACAAGGTTGTGAGGTTTTTTGTTGTTGTTGTTTTGTGGGTTTTTTTTTTTTTTAGATGGTATCTTACTATGGGGTATCTTACTATGTAGTCTAGTCTTAAACTTGCTATGTAGTCCAGGCTAACCTCGAACTTGAAATTCTCTTGCCTTAGCCTCCCAAGTCCTGGGATTATAGGTATGGACCAAAATAATTGGTTCTCATTATTAAGAGAAATTACTACACTACAGAAATTAGTTTGTGTGTGAACAAATGCTTTTAATTATCTTGAGTATATACCCAGGAATAGAGACTGGATCATATGTTGATTCTTGGTTTAAGGCTTTAAGAAACTGTCAAGCTCTTTGCCACAGCAGCAATATTATCTTATATTCCAACCAAAAATGCATTGTGGTTTTGAATCTTGACCACTTGTTATTTTTATATATTGCCATTATTAGTGTTCTATACAGATGTCATTTTGGGTTCAAAGTGGTGACTTACTGCATTTTTTGCTTACATTTCTCTAATGATGAATGATATGAGCATTTTTTGTATGTATTTACTGGCCATTTAGATATCTTCTTTTGATAACTATTTATTCAAATCGTTTACCAAATTTTAAATTGATTGATTTGTCTTACTGTTGAGCTACAGCAGTTTTTTTATGTGTATGGTTGCTGGAACCTCATCAGATACAAGATTAACATGTTATATTTGGAAATGCAATCTAACCTATACATTTAGGTCAGGATTCATATCTCAGATAAAATATTAACTAAGATAACAACCCTGAAATGCTAGTCATAATATTTTGATATTTTACGATTTTCAATTTCTCTATAATAATTTGGGCAGCACTGTGTTCTTATGGGTTAAATTAATTGATATTAGCTAATCTAGAATTAATATTTTAGGGAAAACTTAGAGGAGCTAGTCCCGAAGAAGACTGGACTTTGTGCTCTTATTGAGAAGTATTTTATAAGAAATTCAGTGACACTGTACATTGTAATTTTCCTTGGAGTTTTGTAAAGATTTACATAATTTTAAAGATGTAGACCATAATGTATTCCAATAAAATTGTTTCCTGGTGCTATCCTTTCTTACCCTTTAAAGTTATATAATTTGTGATTTGTGTCTCTTTTACTTTCATAATTTAAGTACTCTACCCATTCCTGGATACTTTCTCTTTGGAACATCAGCTCCTCTTGAAATAATACCCTTTGGATTAATTTTCTCACAAACTTGTCTCCTTCTTATCCCCTTTAAATTTGGAGGGAAAATATATATTTAAAAAAGTATAAAAGCAGGATAAAATATTTTAATTCTTCAGGTATTTTGTCCAACATATTGTCTTTCTTTTTGGTGTGTGTCTAGGAGAGTAATATAGATGAAGTGTCTGAAAACCAGAATTATAATGTGTATGAAGAGGAGCCTGAAAATTTAACATATGGTAATAAACTAAGCTACCTTTTGTGTTTATTATTAAGATAATTAAAGCAAGGTGTTATCACTATGGAAATTAGTAATTTTCTTTAGGTGGATTTCATTTTTCTCATGGATCAAATATATATTTCATTATACCAATTACATTCCTATGTGATATTTATTTTGTAATACTTCCAAAGAAAAAGGCTTAGTGCCTATTGAGTTTTTAATTTTTAATACTTCATTGCTTCTTTAGAGATGAGAAAAAATCTTAACTATGATATTTGAGAAGATATTTTCGTTAAGCATTGTGGACTGTAGACTGTAGAAGTGTTGAGGTAGGGGTATGTATGTTGAGTTTGAGGGGTATGTATGTGTGATAGAAATTGTAGTGGAGGAAAAAGAGAGGAAATTACTATAAAATTTGAGAACTTACCACAAATTATCAGTAAGATATTTAATGAAGGGAAAATACTGTTTATGCAATCATTAAAAAACTCAAGAGATTTATTTAGAAAGCAAGTTGAAAAACACTATTGTACTTTAAAACATAAGCTTATATAACTTAAAGTCTTTAATTCAAATATGTAATAATGATATGATTTTGTCACAGTTTGATCATCTTTCCACTTCCCTGACTAATAGTCTTTAGATATATATAGTCATATCTTCTGTCACTGTACTAGCCTAGCATAGCAGTGCTATTGCGTATTCAGCCTTCTCTACCTGAAATATGCAAACTTTTTGTTGTTGTTGTTGCTGTTTTTACTTTTTGATTCCAGTACCGAAGATCAAACCCACAACCTCACATATGCTAGGCAAGCACTCTACCACTGATCTATCTCCAGACCTAACACTGAGGATATAAGTTTAAGATCATCACATTTGCCCTTCAATATTGCACACTGGGAAGGAGTCTCTCTTGTGCACTGGTGGTGGCTCTTATATTTCAAATTTTCACTTATCCAGAGGGTTTTCCCCTCACATTGGATCATCTAATGACTTGTTTCCTTTTGGCTCCTGCAGCCTCCAGTGTTCCTACACATACTGATCACTATTTTTAATGAGCACTTCCTTGGATTCCACAGTAATCAACTGAGTGAGCCAATATTATTATCCGTGGTGTTACAGACAAGGAAACTGCAGATTAAACCAATTAAATAACCCTAATTAGAAGTCACATAGTCATTAACTGTTAGGGGTTGACATTGAACGCAGTCAATTTGATTCGAGAGCTCACATATTAATCATATTACCATTTACTTCTTACACATCACTTACATCTATAACATAAGCTATTTTATATTTGAGACACCACAGTTAAGGGGAGGATGTCACTAAAACATAAGCCCTGAGACCTTTCTAACCCTCTACAGATACACCAATTCCAACAGTATATAAAATAATTCCCTTTATGAGAGATACAGAAACTAATTGAGAGACTCCTGAATGCTGAGTGAGCACAAAACCAGCTACATTTTAGCCAGTAAGAATATTTAAGACACCTTCTTGGAAGGTCAAGAAAGGATAGGATCATAAACCAATGTTCTGATTTTTCTCAGGGCTTCCTGAGAACTGGTTCCCGTCTTGCCTGTATCAGATCATTGTAAGGGCTTGTCATTCTCTAGATACTTGGGGAACAATTAGAAGTAAGAATGTACCGGTCAGGTGGTGCATGCCTGTAATACAGCACTTACTTGAAAGGATGAAACAAAAGGAATCATGAGTTTGAAGCCAACCTGGGCTACAAAACAAGCTCTTGTCTCAAAAACAAAACAACAACCACACCCCGAATATGACTGAAAATGGGTTAGGGACTTACATACAAATTACTACAGAGAAAAAGATACACAAATGTTCAACATCACTAATCATTAGTTAAATATAAATCAAAATTATAATAAAATATCATCTTACATCTAATAGCATGACTGTTATCCAAAAGTCAAAAGATCGCAAAAGTGTTAGCAAGGAAGTAGAAAAGCTGATGGGAATGTAAAATGTCACTGGAACTTCGAAAACAGTATATAGAGGTTACTATCACTTCATCCATGCTCTCATTTCATCCTTGTATTTGTTCATTATTCCCTTCATCTTCCCAGAGATCATCAGCCTGTTTTCACTAAAGAATGTTTATGTTTGAATAGCTGCTTTAAGTTGTTCTTTCCTTAAAGGGAGAAAATTATATTTTATCATTGTATATACATATAAAAATGCATTATTATTTACATAAAATAAGGTGCTCAATTTTTAACAGATGTTCCTCTTCGAAGACTTGAAACTACTCAAAGTGAGGTAAGAGAATTTCTATAAAATAATTTCATTATTTTATAAAGGAATGGAATATTCGTGAGTGGGAAAATAGCTGTAGATGAAAATAAACATCCAAGAAGTTATTTAGTTATTTTATAGTTATTTCTGTTATGGCAATATCTATACTGTCATACATCTTTTAAATTAAATTATCCTCTGGAAACAGATACTTAAACATAAAATAGCAATATTTTAAAATGTATATCAAGAATAGGGGGTGAAAAGTGTTAAGGAAAAGAAAGGGAAAAAGCATGGAGTTCTGCGTAAGATCGAAGATGTACCTTATACCTAACCACATTTTTTTAGTTTTACCAAAATTTTTTATCATGCTGTTAACATTGCCCATGGAATAATAGTGCATACTTCATAATAGAAATCAGTAAAAAGATGGAATTCATTTACTATACTTAGTATAATTTTTCATTCCATTAAAGAATGAATTCCTGTGTAATCCAATAAAGAGTAAAAACTTTTTCTCTACTGTTTGATACTGTTTATTTATTTCTATCCCAGGTTCAGTGGTTCCCAAATACCAGGTGAAGAATCAATATGTACTATTTTCTTCAACACAAGGAAAAGAGGGGGAAAGAAAATAGAGACCATTTCATAGTTAATTTTATTTAACTTAAGAAAGTAGCCTTCATTTTACCTTCTTTCTTTACTATTTTGCCATTACAAATTCTTTTATTTTATGATATAGTTGTGATTTTTCAATAGTATTGCATTGTGTTATTTTGCTACTAAAATTTCCTTTGTTTCATGACATATTGGTAATAGTGTGACAGCAAAATGTCAGACTGGTGCCAGGTTTTCTTAAGACGTTGCCAGTTTGTGCAGTACAGACATATGTAAACCACTGCACTATCACTTTCATGGATACTATTCTATGATTTGAGGGTAGTAGAAGATGTCTCAGTATCCTTTATTGAAGAATGTAATATACAAATACCAGTGGTAGTATGGTAAAGGATATAAGTACAATGTGTTTTCATTTATAATTTAAAAAATCTTACTAGTGAATAAATGATTATTGGAAGTTCATTTTATTGCTTTATTTTCTAGTTGCTGGATAATGGTAATAAGGAAGGCCTGATTATACCAATTTTGAAATTGTTGGACCAAGACAATTCAGTGCCTGCTGTTTACAAAAGTGGTGAATCAACACCCACAGATAGTCCATTGCCCCCTGTTCATACCGTACAAATAATAGAAGAGGATGAAACACCACATTTACAGAAAACTAATTCAGAAGTTAAGCCAGTGGAAAAAAAGAAAAGTGTAGTATTTCTATCCGAAGACAATTTAAGCCCAAAACATTCCAGCATTTTAAAATTAGCCTCACCACTACAAGAGGTAAAGTTGAGAAGTTTTTGTGTAAATCCTGAGAGAATAAGGAGGAGGAATTTAGATTCATCTCCAACAGGAATTAGATGTCAAAGCAAGTATCTTAACAACTGAAAGGAAGAGCACAAGCTTGGGTTCCTGAGCTCTGAAATGAAAAGGTAGCTTGTAAAGCCAAGAATCAACAGAAGACTTTGAACTAAAGGTTCTACCCCTATGTTAAAAGCATAAGAGCAGGAAAAAAAAAATCAAAATAATTTATTTTTTTAAAACATCAGTGAAATACAATAAATTCAAAATTATTCAAATGTCTCTAAATAGAAATATGTCTAAATATATTAAATATTTCTACTCTATGTATTACTAATCAATGAGGGAGGAAATCTTTGAAAAAAAACTAAATGCCAGTAACACAAACTAATCTCTTGGGTTACTGTGTGTGTGATTTGGCAGAAAATGTAATAACAAATATAAATTCAAAGGAAATGTAAAAACCTGAGCAATTATTTTAGAATTTTTAAAAACTGTTATATTAACAGGAAATAGCATCTCTTTTCCTTGCTACCAGCTCTGAATGTAAATGTAAGGTACACTAGTCTCAAAATGATGCTTTTTTACCTTGAACTTTACATCTCATTTGACTCATGATTATGAGATAGCTCTTTTAAGAAGCTCTGTAAAAGTGTAATGAATTTGAGGTTTAAGTAAGACTCTGCCTCTAAATGCTTTGACTGACTTAGGCACCTAAATCTCTAGTTCTGTTTTCATATGCTTTGATGGTATCGAAGCAAATCAATTCTAAATTATTTCTGAAATTTCAAAGACTATCATTTCATTCATAACTCTAGCCAGGGAATTGTTCTTAATTCCCTAAGTCAATACCTTAAGCAATACATTCTTTTTTACTGGATGTGAAGCTAATACACACAGGAAATTTAGAAAATGGAGAGAAATGTAAAAGAGAAGTTAAATGAAAGAAGTTGTACTTATGTTGTCACATTTAACAATTTTAGCCCTTTCGATCTTTTTGTGCCTATATGCACTTTATTTTTTATTCTTGCATCAATCTATTTATGTAATTTTATACTATGCCTTTTATGATTCAATATTATAAACATTCTATTTGAATTTTCTCAGACATTTGTAAGATGTAGACTATATTCAAATATGAATAGGCTATAATTTTTTAGGTTTCCATATTGTTGGTATGAAATTGATATTCTTTTACTTAGCTGTTTATTTAGATATGTGGTTATTTAATGATATAGTCATACAAATAGTATTGGAAAGTTGTTCAGAAAGATAACGCTACTTTACATTCTTACAAAAAGTATTTGCATATTAATTGTTCTTTTAAATAATACTGAGATTGTTTGATGCTTACTAGTCACATTTATTTTCCTACTACGAGGAGACAGATCATATCCTTTGTCTAAATTTCTCTGTTGTAAACTTGATAATTTTGCTTATATTTAATCTTGCTTAGATTTTAAAATGGGTTTTTAAAAATATTTATTATTTTTATGTGTATGCATGTATTGCCTGAATGTAGGTAAGTGCACCCATGTCATGCAATGCCTACGGAGGACAGAAGAGGCTGTTGGAGCCCCTGGAACTGGAGTTACGGACAGTTGTTACCTGCCATGTGGGTGCTGGGATTCGAACCAGGGTCTTCTGCAAGAACATTCAGTGTTCTTAACCACCGAGCCATCTCTCCAGCCCCTTAAAATGGTTTTTAAAAAATATTATTTTTTATTTTATGCCTATGCATGTATTGCCTGCATATATATGTGTACCATGTGTGTGCAATGCCTGCAGAGGTCAGAAGAGGGCATCAGATCCCCTGGAACTGAAATTACAGATGGTTGTTAGCTGACATGTGGGTGCTGGGAATCAAACTCAGGTTCTCTGCAAGAGTAGCCAGTGCTCTTAACTGCTGAGTCTCTCCAGCCCTGGGTTCTTTTTATCTTAAGAATGCTAACCACTTAATTAAGCCTGTACTTTTCCATAGATTATAGTTGACCTTTAAATTCATGTACTATATTCCTTCTGACTTCTAAAATTGATGTGTAATAAGTGAGTCATTTATTTCTGTATAATATATCACTATAAAATTTAATGGCTTATAACCACCATAATCTTATCATTCAATATTTGGTGGAATTGACTGTGCTTAATTAGACAGTTCTGCTTCACAGAACCTTGAATATTAAATAGACTTAGTCATTTAGACACTTGAATGGGCTGGAACACTCATGATGGATCACTTACATGATTGACACTTTGATGGGAACACCTGTAAGGTTTAGCCTATCTGGGATGTATAGCCCTCTAACTTTGACATTCTCTCATATTCTGATGTTCTCTAACTCCCTCCTTCTCTTCCTCCTTCCTCTCTTCCCTTCCCTCTTCCATGTAATGTTAGGAATTGCCCCTTCTACTGTCCATGTGGCCTTCTTCATATCATCTCTATATGTGGTAACCAGACCTTCTAACATACAAAAGTAGTTTTAGGACCTTATGAGACCTAGGCTTGAGCCTAGTACAGATTCACTTCATCCTAGGCTGAGTTTTGATTCATAGACATGTGAATGGGAGAGTACTATAGGACATGAATTGAGTCTTGGGAGGTGTTGTTCATTGGAGATCACATCAAAAGATAAGTACCCCAGATTAACTTCCTATAAAATAATGTCCCTTTTAACATGCAAAATACTCTTCCCTTCCCAGATTCCCAGTCTCATGCTATTACTCTTATCAGACGTGAAATATAGAACTTCAACCTATAAACCAGGACTGGATCACTGAGGCTCCTCAAGTATGACTGCTCTATCTGCAAGTCTGAATTGAATAAGTCGGTTTTCTGTCCCCCACACAGTAGTGACCCAGGAACAGAACTTTTATGTTCTTTATATGTTATACGTTATTTATATGTTTATATGATCTGCAAACTGGAAGAGCCTTGGCATCCCATAGGTAGAGGAACAAATTGTGATGCATATAACTGCCAACAGACTAGTATTTCTGAAGTTCTTGGTTTTGCCCTTGGGTCTTGGTCGTATGCTTGTAACAACCCCTTTTTTCCATAAGAAATCAATTTTCTATGTAGTTCGGTACTTGTAGTCAGTGTCCTTTCTGTATGAAGTTGTTGAAGTATCTTCATTCACTTTAAACCATCTGTGTTCCTTTCATTTTGAGATACTATAGTTCTAAGTATTTTGTAGGTTTCTGTATAACACATTATCTTGTTTATCTGAGTAGTGCACCCCTAAGTGTGTGAAGATAGGCCTGCATTCCTCAGGCTGAGTCTGGTTCCTGTGACACAGAATCCTTAAGAATACTTGAAGTGCTCTTGCCTAGCTGACAGTGACTAAGATGCTGCCTAAGATTCTTTAAATAATTTCTGTCTAGCTGAATGGTCTGCTTACGCCTTTTTGAGGTTTTAATAATAGGCCTTAAAGCTTTATATTGGCCTTGAAATTATATTTTAGTGGCAACACTCTAGATTTGATCTTTGCCATGAGTTCATTTCTTACTTTCAGAAGAATCATTGACTAAGAGAAGTGTGGATGAGGAGCTGTTTTTTTCTCCAATACCAACAAATTCTGGTTCAGGAATGTTGCCCTTGGAGGTTGCTTCAGAAATGAACAGTTCTATTTCTAGCTCACTTCATTTGAAGCATTTTGTAATACATAGCTTTAAAAAGCTGTTTGGCATTTTCAGCATGCTACCTAGAATTCTTAGCCAAATACTCAAATTCATATACATGCTTTCTATTTTCCATGTTGATAGAGCAGTGGTTTCCAAACTTTCCATCACTTAAAAAAGTTGGTCACTTTTAGTTTCCAACAAAAATTACTTTCATGTCCTTCTCATATTATCTTAGAGGGTTTTCTTAAGGATCTTTCTATTTTTTAAATTTTGTTTTATATACATGTTTTGCTACATATAAATATATCGTGTGTGCAAACCCAGAGTCCGATCCTCTTGAATTGGAGTTAGAGACAGTTGTTAGCTGACATGGATGCTGGGAACTGAACCTGGGTCCTCTGGAAGAGCAGCTAGTGCTCTTAACTTCTGAACCATCTCTTCAGCCTGGTCTTTCCATTTTTTGACCAAAGTGTAGCCCCCAAACAAGTTCCACATTTTGGGGGGTTATATCAGAAATCTATCTCTTGGAACTCATTTACAAATATTTGTATAACTATCCCAAAATTTAATGTCTGAAAACATTTTTACTCTTGAGACTTGATTGTGGACTATACTTACCTAGGAAGTTCTGCTTCACCCAATATCAGCTATGGCACTGTCATCCTGGATCTTGCTGAAATAAATCTCCAAGATGACTCACTCACATATCTGGTGCCTTACTGACACAGAAGACTGACATCAGATAGGCCCTTAGAATGGCTGAGCCCTGCACTCCATGTTGTCTCAGAGTCTCTCCCTCTCCAGTGGCCTCTCCACAAGTTTATTTATAATAGGGAAGCAAGTCTTCTATCCCAGCATAAAATTTTTACTGGAGATAGTGCATTTATATTTAATATATAAATATAGTCAACTTTCCATGTCTGTGGGTTTCACACATGCATATTCAACCAACTGCAGATTAAAAAATGTGTCTGTAGCAAATAGGTATATTTCCCCTAAGTAGTGCAGTCAAACAACATTTTTATAGCATTTATGTGTGTTAAATATTATAAATATACAGGAAGGTATGTATAGGTTATGTGCCAATACTATACTATTTTATCTAAGGGACTTGAGTATCTCATATTGTTGTGGCAATTCTGGAATCAATCCCTTAGGGATACTGGGGAACATTTTCATTTGAATGCTCTGTAAGCCAGAGAGTATTTCTCTGCTCTTTATTGGTTGGTCCCTGCCTTCTTTTTAGGACAGTTTTAAGTTGCCTAGCCTACCCTGAAAACTCGATCATTGTCACTTCGCTTCTGAAATGATGTAGGCATTTCTGTGAGATTAGCTTTTACTGTAGAACCTTTTCTTCCATC